AGTATCCAGCCTGGCCTCTGCCCTGACCTCCGGCCTCCCTCTGCCTGCAGCTGCGCTGTCCCCGTTCGCCGTGACGCGGCGCATCGGGCACCCCTACCAGAACCGCACCCCCCCCAAGAGGAAGAAGCCGCGCACGTCTTTCAGCCGGGTGCAGATCTGCGAGCTGGAGAAGCGCTTCCACCGGCAGAAGTACCTGGCCTCGGCCGAGCGGGCCACCCTGGCCAAGGCCCTCAAGATGACGGACGCCCAGGTGAAGACCTGGTTCCAGAACCGCCGCACCAAGTGGAGGTAACGCAGCCTGCAGCTCAGGGCTGGGCCCCGCCGCACCCAGCGGGGCCGAGTGCAGGGTACCAACGTCTGCAGCACATCCTCCCTCGCAGCTAGGGGCAAAGGGAGCGCCCCCTGCTGGGGGAGACGGGCAGAGTTCCTGGGAGCTGCCCCCCAGCCAGGGCTCCTGCCCTGCGCCCCACAGCGCCCCCTGCTGGGCGAGACCGGGGCTGGGTTCCTGGGAGCTGCCCCCCCAGCCAGGGCTCCTGCCCTGCGCCCCACAGCGCCCCCTGCTGGGCGAGACCGGGGCTGGGTTCCTGGGAGTTGCCCCCCAGCCAGGGCTCCTGCCCTGCGCCCCACAGCGCCCCCTGCTGGGCGATACCGGGGATGGGTTTCTGGGAGCTGCCCCCCAGCCAGGGATCCTGCCCTGCGCCCCACAGCGCCCCCTGCTGGGCGAGACCGGGGCTGGGTTCCTGGGAGCTGCCCCCCAGCCAGGGATACTGCCCTGTGCCCCACAGCGACCCCTGTTGGGGGGAGATCAGGGGCGGGCAAGGGATAGCTCAGTGGTTTGAGCATTGGTTCTGCTAAACCCAGGGTTGTGAGTTCAATCCTTGAAGGGGCCATTTTGGGAACTGGGGTAAAAATCTGTCTGGGGATTGGTCCGGCTTTGAGCAGGGGGTTGGACTAGATACCTCCTGAGGTCGCTTCCAACCCTGATACTCTCTAATCCAGGAGCTTCCCCCTAAAGCCAGGGCTCCTGCCCCACTCCCCGCAGCGCCCCCTGCTGGGCGAGACCGGGGCTGGGTTCCTGGGAGCTGCCCCCCAGCCAGGGCTCCTGCCCCACTCCCCACAGGAGTAGCCGGGGCTCCTGTTTTGGCAGGGCAGAGTGGCGTTAGACACGCACAGTGCTGGGGCGGGGGCTGGCAGGGGCAGGGGTGTGTAGTTGAGGGGCAGGGTGGTGGGAGAGAGAGACTGGCCAGGGGCAGGGCAGGGGTGGGGGTCGAGGCGCAGGCAGCCACCTCAGGCACTAACGCGGCTCTGCCCACGTCCCCCGCGGCAGGAGGCAGACGGCGGAGGAGCGCGAGGCCGAGCGCCAGCAGGCCAACCGGCTGATGTTGCACCTGCAGCAGGAGGCCTTCCAGAAGAGCCTGAGCCAGCCGCTGCCGCAGGACCCGCTCTGCATGCACAACTCCTCCCTCTGCGCCCTGCAGAACCTGCAGCCCTGGGCCGAGGACAAGAAGGTCACGTCCGTCTCAGGGGTGGCATCTGTGGTGTGAGGCCCCCGTGCTGCCCCCTGGAGCGGGGGGAGAGACCCGTCTGCACGTCCCCACGGAGGCTGCGGGGTGGTAGGGGCTGGGGCCGGACCCTCCATGCCTGCTGCAGATGCAGATCCCTGGGGCATGGGCTGCTGCCCCCAGGGACCATGATGCCGGTGTGCTCCCAGCTGTGGGCCTGCCCTGCCCCAGCCCCCACGGAGGAGCAAGGAGCCCCAGACACTGACACACCCACCCTGGCAGGCCAGCCCCCGCGGACTGACTCAAAGGCTCTGTCTCCAGCTGACTTACTAGTGACCTGTACTGCCAATAAAGGGTTAAAGTCTGTGTTAATGGAGACCTAGATCCCATCCGCCAGGGCCCTCCCCATGGGAGCTGCCCCCTGTGACTGGCTGGGGCCCTCCCCCCACCGCAGGGGGTACAGCCACCCTGACACCTCCAGGCCCTGCCCAGACCTGCCCCACTGCCTGTGCAGGCTGCCCCAGGATCAGCGAGGCCCAGCCCCCACTTTTCTGTTAGGACTGGGGGCTCTCCCTGGCTGTGCTGC